TAATTGTTCATCATCATCATCATCATCATCATTTTCATCATCATGTTCCTCATCATGTTCATCATCATCATCAGCCTGATGATAATCAGCACCACGCATCCTCAGCATCATCAGCAGCAGTTATCATGACAATCAAGACAACGCATCCTCCGCATTTCCAGTCGGGCCTAACAGCACACTTGAAACCCAAATATGGTGAGGAACATGATGATGATGATGACGATGATGATGATGAACATGATGATGAACATGATGATGAACACGATGATAATGATGAAGATGGTGATGATGATGAACATGATGATGAGAATGATGATGATGAGAATGATGATGAAGAGATGATGCTGATGTTGATGAACATGATGATGATGATGAACACCACCTTCTTCATTCATGTTCATCATCATCACCATCATCATCATTTTCATCATCATGTTCATCATCATCATCATCATTTTCATTATCAATTCCAGCATCAATGTTCCTCATCATCATCAACCTGATGATGATCATCACTACGCATCCTCAGCATCACCAGCAGTATGCCAATTATCATGACAATCATGACGACGCATCTTCTGCATTTCCAGTCGGGTCTAACGGGACACTTGAAACTTATAGGAAAAAGAAGAGCCACGGTTTTGATGATGAACATGATAAGGAACATGATCATGCCACCCTCATCATTTTCATCATCACATTATCATCATGTTCATCATCATGTTCATCATCATTATCATTTTCATCCTCATGTTCCTCATCATGTTCATCATCATCATCATCATCGTCAGCAGCAGTTATCATGACAATCATGACAACGCATCCTCTGCATTTCCAGTTGGGTCTAACGGCACACTTGGAACGTATATGAAAAAGAAGAGCGCGAACATGGTGACGTGATGATGCAAATGATCATGTTCGTCATCATCATCATCATCAGCCTCATGATAATCAGCACCACGCATCCTCAGCATCACCAGCAGCAGTTATCATGACAATCAAGACAACGCATCCTCCGCATTTCCAGTCGGGCCTAACAGCACACTTGAAACGTACATGAAAAAGATGAACATGATGATGATGAGATGATAATGATGATGTTGATGAACATGATGATGATGATGAACACCACCTTCTTCATTCATGTTCATCATCATCACCATCATCATCATTTTCATCATCATGTTCATCATCATCATCATCATTTTCATCATCAATTTCAGCATCAATGTTCCTCATCATCATCATCCTGATGATGATCATCACTACGCATCCTCAGCATCACCAGCAGTTAACGTTCTCACTATGCCAATTATCATGACAATCATGACGACGCATCTTCTGCATTTCCAGTCGGGTCTAACGGGACACTTGAAACTTATAGGAAAAAGAAGAGCCACGGTGTTGATGATGAACATGATACGGAACATGATCATGCCACCCTCATCATTTTCATCATCACATTATCATCATGTTCATCATCATGTTCATCATCATCATCATTTTCATCCTCATGTTCCTCATCATGTTCATCATCATCATCATCGTCAGCAGCAGTTATCATGACAATCATGACAACGCATCCTCTGCATTTCCAGTTGGGTCTAACGGCACACTTGGAACGTATATGAAAAAGAAGAGCGCCACGAACACGGTGACGTGATGATGTAAATGATGATGATGATGATGATGAAAATGATGATGACGAACATGAACATGCACATGAACATGATGATAATGAACACCATCGTCACTTTCATCATCATCTTCATGATGATTTATTTGCATCATCATGTTCATCATCATCATCATCATCCTCATCATTTTCATCATCATGTTCCTCATTAAGTTCATCATCATCATCATCATCCTGATGATAATCATCAGTACGCATCCTCAGCATCGCCAGCAGTCAACAGTCATCACTACGCATCCCCAGCATCAGCAGCAATTATCATGACAATCATGACAACACATCCTCTGCATTTCCAGTCGGGTCTAACGGCACACTTGAAACGTATGAAAAAGAAGAGCGCAACGGTAATGATGATGATCCGGATGATGTGAAGTGATGATAATCATCACTTAGACAAGGACAAAGACAAACCCTTCCCATGCGCCTTCCCTTTGGAGAAAGGGGTCGGCGGATTATTGCAAGCAAGCAAGCAAAAAAACACAAACAACCACCAAAACGATGAAACCGCCGCACGAACTAAACACAATCAAGCACCAAAACAAACAAGCAAACAAACAACAAACAATCAAACAAACAAGCAAACAAGACAACAAACGAACAAACATACAACTCAACAAACAAGCAAGCAAAGCAATCGAGCAAACAAGCAAACGAGCAAACAAACAAACGAGCGCACAAGCAAACAAAGAAGCAAGCACGCAAGCAAAGCAAACAAGCAAGCGAGCAAGCAAGCAAGCAAGCAATCCACAAGCACACAGATACACACACCAGCAACCATGCAAACACAAGCACGCATGCGTGCAAGCGAGCAAAAGCGCGCGCAAGCGTCCATACAGACACGCGCACACACACATGCAACCAACCGACCCACCAACCAAATTAACCAACCAGCCAGCCAGCAACCCAAACCAATCAAACACGCAAACAAGCAAACAATCAAACAAACAAATAAACAAGCAACAAGAAAGACGCGCCGACCAACAGACTGACCGACCAACAAACAGACAGGCAGGCAGACAGGCAGACAAACGAACAAACAAACAAACACACACACAGAAGCAAGCGAAACAACCAAACACACAAGAAACAAACAAACAAACAAACAAACAAACACACAAACACACAACCGCACAAACAATCACACAAACAAACAAACAAGCAAACAAGGAAAGAAGTAAACAAGCAAGAAACAAACTTCAAGCAAGCAAGCGTTCAAGCAAGCATACGGGCAGGTAAACAAGCAAACAAACAAACATGCAAGCAACCAACCATCCAACACACAAGTAAGCACACACCAAAGCAACACACCTATAAGGCAAGCAAACCCACGAGCGCGCGCAAGCGGACAGTCAATCAGACAGCAAACAACCAACCAGCCAAAACAAGTCAACCAACCAACCAATCATTTGAGCGATCAATCAGTGCTCAATAAAACGAGTCAGTCAATCAACCATGCGGTCAATCAAGCAACTAATCAATCAATCAATCAACTAAGTAAGTAATCAATGACAAACTGAGTCAGTCGCTCAATCTTCGATCAATCAACCCATCAGTCAATCAATCCGTCGATCAATTCACTCATTCATCCATCCACTCATTCATTCAATCATTGATTCATTCATTCATTCGTTCATTCATTCATTCTTTCATTCATTCATTCATGCATGCATTCATTTCATTCATTCATTCATTCATTCATTCATTCATTCATTCATTCGTTCACTCGTTCATTCCTTCGTTGATTCATTCATTCATTCGTTCATGCGTTCAGTCATACATTCACTCATTCAGTCATTCACTCATTCACTCATTC